GAGTATCTTGTAGTAATCTTTCCGCTTGCTTTTCTTTAACTCCAGTTGAGCCGTTTTGAGGAGATGTTTATGTTCTACAAAATAATAATAAAAAAAACCCAAACATTTATTTAGCCATATGATAAAATAAGCAATCTGTGCTTTTTAGATGTTATACATTTAGAATCTTACCTTTTGTCTTCTCTGTCTGGTAGACCTTCTCGTAATCCCTCACTCCCTCTTCATACTGCTCTGTGTCCATGTAGCTGAAACAAAATCTTACTTGTTTACCCACATAAAGCAATAAAAGCTGTCAGACTCAATATCACACTGACCATGGAGTTTGTATTGCATGTGCTTCTATTCACGACTAAGTTAAAAGTTGAGGACATACCACTGAGCTCTCCTTAAATAGGCCTTGATGTAGGTCTCATCCAGCTTAATGGCCTTTGTGCAGTCTTCAATGGCTTGTTCTAGTTTCTTCAGCTGCAGAAGAAAAAGAAAGAAAGAAGAATGCAGAGCCCGATAATAAGCCCATGACTCAAGTCTAGTTAATGTGCAAATTGATGGAACATGGCATGAATACTAAACAGGAGCAGAACCTGAGTGTGAATTAGGATCATAGACTTACAGAAACATCCATGACGCCTTAAACTTTACACATTTTATCACATTACAGGATGCAAGGTCTTATTTTATTTTTTTTTTTACAAATAAAAATCTGAAAATGTGTCTGAATCTGATTATTAAACATTATAATATAGCTGAGGCTGTATAAAACCTTTTGTAACGCCAGATTTCATTTTACAATTATGAGGTAAAAGATTTAATGTTTGTGGCCATAGCGATAGAACAAGTGAAAACATTTAAGGAGTATAAACATTTTTAAAGGTGCTGTATTTTTTTGACGATTGTCCAGGTGTTGCTGACCTTGGATCCAACTGTGGCTCTGTTGCAGAACAGCTTGGCATTAGTCTTGATGTTGTTTGGGTCTATTGTTAGGGCCTCTGAGTACAAATCATAAGCTGCCTCAAAGTTGCCCTCCTTGAACGCCTTGTTCCCTTCTTCTTTCTTGGCTTTTAACGCTTTGGAATTCTGGAAAGTCAAAACCACAAATTAGCCATAAAAGACAGTGATGGTAAAATTGAACTCTAAATAGGTTAAAGAAATTTCACCTGTATAGCTACATTTCTTTATTAAAACAGATAATGAATACTGACAAATAGAAATCTTCTGCTTAATTACTCACTCTACACGCGAGTCGGGCCTTGTCGTGGTCAGGAGCCATACGCAGGGCCTGGACGAAGAACTGAACAGCCTTATCAATGCAGTCCTCATAATACAGACAGAGGCCGCGCACGTAAAGAGCGTCAGCGTTGGTGGAGTCCATTCGGAGTATGTCACTGTGAAGAAACAGAAGGAAATATAGCAAAACAAAAAAAAAGTTACAAGAAAAAAAAATCTAGATTTTCCACGTTGTTGCAGTAACTCCCTAAAAAAAAACAATCACAAAAATCGAATCTTTTTCTTATCTCTCACCTGGCGACAGACTGAGCCTCTGGGTATCGTCCCAGTAAGGCTAAACATTCTGCCTTCAAAATCTTGAACTTGTGACAAGCTGACGCACACTCCAAGGCACGGTCCATACAAAACACAACCTAAAAGAAAACACGCAGCATTTACCTTCTCTGGTTTTTCCTCACAGCTTCTGTAAACATGCATCTCAAATTCACTAACTACATTAATTACACGTAAAATGATACATTAGTTTTTGTGCACGTCAAAAGTCAGAATAGTCGTCTCCCAGAAACTTTTAGAGAACTTCCTGCTTTTCTTCTGCTGACAAGCTTTAAGGAGATGCTGATTTGCCCAGCAGGACTTGTCACCTACCAATACCTGCTTTAAAGGTCGTGACATCACTGTGCTTTACTTTCGAAATTGATTTTTTGGCCTTATGCAATATAAGAAAAAAAAAAAAGTTTTTCATTTGCTGTAAATTGTGATAATCAACATAAACAGAAGATGTTGCTAGAAATATATCACTGTGTGTTTAATGAATCTTTTGGAAAACATTTCACAGAGGACTAAAATAATCCAGTAAGAAGCTTACCATTCTGAAGTCTCTCTTTTCAAATCCAATCTCTGCCATTCTCTCATATTCAAGGATGGACTCTGCATTCTTTAGCTGCAAAATATGATTCTTAGCCTTAAGTAACAATGTGGAAGACTCACATTAGCAACAAAACAATAACCAGTCACTTTCTGCGCCATCTGCTTGTAAAACCAGTATGACATGAGCAGGGCTACTTTCAGGAAATAACTTGACTTTAACTCAATGGCTGCCAAGTGAGAACCAACGTTTTCCTCACACTCTTTGCGTCTGGTCTGATCAGAATGTTTTACTGGTGGATAATCATATTGAAGTTTTCAGGTGAAACTCTAAAACCGAGGATGTGCTCACCTCTTGCTGGGCTTGGCTGTTATCTGGCTCCAGTTCCAGAACTTTCTGGAAACAGCGGCTGGCTGCCATAGCATTTCCAAGTGAGAGGTGGCACTTACCCTCTCGCAGATGTCCCTGCAAACAGGAGAGGCAAAGTTAACTGTCTAAAAAACGTAATGTCTCCGAAAATTATATGAAAGGCATTCTGTGTTAAATTCGTTGATGTATGCTAATGCGGGAATTTCTTATTTAAGTGGTTAAATGCATTGCAATACCAGTACAAAAGGAAATGTGCAGAGTTCACGTTTACAACAAAATTATATTTTTTAAGGTTATATGCAACTGAAGTAATTTCACAGTAGTCTCATTTCGTCCAGCTTACTTTCATAAAGCTGTTGTCTAGTCGCACTGCTTGCTGGGAGTCCTCCAAAGCCTCCCTGTACCGGCACAGCATCATTAGCGTGGCCGCCCGGTTTCCGTAGTAGCTTGCATTTTTTGGACACATATCTGAAAAATCAATCAATAAGTTTCTCATTTATAAAAAAAAAACAAAAAAAAAACACACCACTGATGACTGGATGAAACAGTGTCTAAAACTGTTTGTTATGAATTTACCAATAGCTTTGGTGTAATAATTGAATGCCTCTGTGTAGTCCTTCTTGATGTAAAAAGCATTGCCTTGCTCCTTGAAGGCCTCTGCATCCCTGTGGGTAGAATTGGTAAAAGAAAAAAAAAAACATAAAAGAGAAATTAGAAAATGTGGGGGATGTCTTAACATTTATTTACATTCAACTTGCACTAAGCCAAAATGACTTCATAAATGTGGCTAACATTATATGCTATCTCAACCAGCCTTATTCTATTCTGACCTCTACATATGTCTCAGGATTTAGTCTCAGGAAAGATGCAGTCAGTCTAGTAGTGTCCAAAAGTCTGTTCAGAGATATTAATGAATAAACCCCATAATAATTACCCTGAAGAACACAACAGACAGGCCAAAGATGAAGTTGTGGAAAGGCTTATTGCAGCTTTAGGTTATAAAACAATGCCTCAAGCTTGAAAGAAGCAATTTCGAACTCCACATCAAAGAAGACTTAGTCATCTATGGGCCACACAAGGAGAGAGTTAATCAGAGAAGCACTGTGACTCTGGAGGAGCTGCAGAGATCCACATCTCAGGAAGAAATGACCAAGTGATAACTGTTAGTTGTGCCCTCCATAAATTTGTCCTTTATCTTATGCAAGATCGGCGAGAATACCACTGTTAAATAAAACCCTCAAGAAGTGTCTTTTGCACTTTCCCACAACCAATCTGGGGGACAGCAAACATGTGGAGGAAGAAGGTGTTATGTCCAGATGAGACCAAAATATAATGTTTTGGTCTACATTCAAAATGCTATACAAGGACAACTAAAACCACCGGAGCACACCATCAGCATGGTGAAAAAAGCTGTGAGGATGCTTTTTGAGCAGCAAAGTTGTTTGGGAAAGTACATGGGCGTTAAATACTGGACAATCCTGGAAGAAATCAATCAGACTGAAAAAGGAATGAGGCTGGGGTGAAGGTTCACCTTCCAGTACAGCATACCGAATTGGAAATACAGCTCCAAAAGAACGACTTAGACCACATAAACTCTTCAGTACCAGAAGGAAGTAATGCAGAAGTTTCAGCTGTTTTAGGGCTGGGGCACGTCTAAGTCTAGGAATGTCTGTCCAGTTTATATCAAAGCGCAGCTACAGTTAGAACTATAATGGAATGTATTAGTTTAGAACATACTCATTAACTCATTTACTTCTCCAAATCAGGATTCTAAAATATGTGGCTGACATGACAATGTAAATACATTAGAGAACTTCTGGCCTGAGTTAGCTAAACACACGAAGAGCCCAGATAGCAGAGCCGAAATGTCTATTCCTGGAGAAGAGGTTGCTATTTTCTATGGCGGGCAGGGGAGAGCAGAGCCAGGAACATATGACACCATGCTCTGTACAACTGCCATTACTTTATTTGGAAGCCTTTCATGCTTTAAATCACGGCCACGCAGAAAATGAATGGTGCCACTGAACGGACTATTCTAGAAAAAAAACAACAACAACAAAAAAACATGACAATGACGGAGAAACAGACATCACAGTAACATTAGCTTTTGCTCTACACGAGTACAGACCGCTCCACAGTTAATGCAAAGCAGTCAGGAGAGTTGGCGTGGAGGAAGACCAAACAAGCTACCATAATGTAGCTTAACAGTTAGCTGCAGAGCGCTAGTTAGCCATCAAAACGCCTCACTAAAACACAAATGACAAGATAAGTTGATGGCGCGTAACTGTAAAAGACTTAGTTGTGTTTCTATTTCTGCCACTGACAACAATTCATGTATTTCTCCCACCTTTCTATCTCCTCGTCACTAAGCAGTTCGATGTCAGGGTCCATGTTCACAGCATCACAATTCTCCGTCGCCATTTTGCCGTCAATGAGGGTGGGCGGGATCTTAGACTGCAGTCGTCGTTACGTACACTGTAAACAGGAAGTGATCCATTAGCTAAGGAAAACGGACTCAGTAAGTTCAAATCAATAAGACACCAGTAGATATCGATAGGCACGAATCGATAAGAACGCATATGTTTTTGATAGCATATTTTTGTTGCACAAGTCAGGTCATACTTACATCAGCTTCGTACTTCCTGTTGTGGTTCCGTATATATGTTGAATTCAAGCTAATGCTAAGCTATTTCTGAATTCAACCCTAGCCAACATATTTTTTTGCGTTAACTCTAGTTACTGTCATCAAAATGTGATTGATATTGCATTTCTATTATTTGCTAATTTATTAAGTTACTTTACAAAAATTACTTTACAAAACTAATGAGATAAAAAATTGTTTATGCAATAACTTTGGCTCTCAGACTGCTGTTTCCACATGAGATAACTTATTTATTAACTGGACAAGCAAAAATTGAAAACATTGAATATAAATTTATTGCTGACCAGAATGACTTGGTTCTTTAAGTTGAAACGCCTCAAACAGCACAAACATTGCTTTCCATTTAGCTAAATGATTTCCCTCCCTTATTTTACCAAATGACCAAATGTTGACAGAAAAAAACAACACACCTTTAAGATTATCCTTAGGAAAAAAGAAATGCTTTCTAGTACGTTGATTGTACTAGAAAACAGAAATTGAAATTGTTTGTCCTACTTGGTTATGAAATCTCAAGTGTGTATGTTGAGCTAGACTTATTCTTTTAAATAATTTATCTCTGTGTCTTGACATTTGCTTAAGTAATAACATATCATGGCAAATAGCATGTGAGTAAATTAACTTTTCAAAGTTTTTTCAGTCTTTACATCCAGTTAAGAAATTTTGTAAAAAAAAAAAAAAATAAATAAATAAAAATAGAAATAATGTCTTTTCTGCTGTTTTTTTGTGACTCAGAACATGAATATATGAGATCCACTGTCTTTATTGACTCTGCCAAAATTCATTGTATTTGTCTTTTCCGTCGACAGATTTTGTGACTGAAAACTGAGAAGTCATCATGGGAAAAAGCTGCAAAGTAGTTGTGTGTGGCCAGGCTGGAGTTGGTAAAACAGCCGTGTTGGAGCAACTACTGTATGCCAATCATGTTGCAGGTACGTCGTCAGCCTTCTGTGATTTTGAGGACTCGTTTCTGTGATCCATCTCCGCCACCATTTGGATATTTACCGTTTAAACCACTCCTCATTTTAACCAACGTAATGCAAAAATATGGCGTTAACTGCCTCAAATTTTTAGGTTCAGACCCCATGGAAACCCTCGAAGATATTTACATTGGTTCCATTGAGACTGACCGTGGCACACGCGAGCAGGTGCGCTTCTATGATACGCGTGGACTCCGTGATGGAATGGAACTTCCTCGCCATTACTACACTTTTGCCGATGGGTTTGTGCTCGTCTACAGCATCGACAGCAAAGAGTCCTTTAAGCGAATGGAGGCACTCAAGAAAGATATTGATCGCCACAGAGACAAGAAAGAGGTAACAACTGAAGGGATTTATTCAAGAATGCTTTTGTCAAATTGTGTCCAATTACGTTTTTCTTGCAGCTTAATAAAACATTCTCAGTAGAGTGCGTTAGCCATAATAATGCACAACGTCCTATCCACAGACATTGATTTTTCTGAGACGGGGTTGGTTAATGATTATTTTTCAAAGCATTCACCTCCATTATTATTCAGTTGACATCAGGCATCACTTAATGAAGTGCACAGTGCTCTGTGATTGCTAATCCATTAATCCTGACCTGACAGGTCACCATCATCGTGCTGGGCAACAAGCTGGACAAGCTGGACGAGAGGAGAATTGATGCTAACTATGCGCAGAACTGGGCGAAAAACGAGAAGGTGCGTCTGTGGGAGGTGTCGGTGGTGGACCGGCGCACGCTCATCGATCCCTTTGTCCACCTGGCCAGCAAGATGACCCAGCCGCAGAGCAAGCCCACCTTCCCTCTCAGTCGCAATAAGAACAAGGGCAGTGGCTCAACGGACAGCTAAGCCAGCTGCTCGGCTTAAAAGAGGAGTTCAAAAGGGAATGGTAAAGGGAACGCTGTTTTAGTAAAAGTTTTAAAAAATGTGGAGAGGCTATCACAAGAGCAAAGGCGCAATGATTGTACAGATATTTTTGTCCAGCTGGTGCTGTTCTGCTGAAATGCTACTTTAATCATGACGTTGCAAATATTTATCTCAAACCACCAAGGAAAAGGATCACTGTGTTGGTATTATGTCAATGTTACTGAATCAAATCATGTTCGGACCGCAGACTGTGTGCTTTGGACCCATGTGTCTTAAACTGCTTACAATCAGCATTTTTATCCACAAAAAAAACCAAGTTGCACATTACTGCACAGGCTTTGATTTTATATACGCTAAACGAGCACACAAACCGAATCAGAAATGCAAACCATGTTCACGTTACCTTATGACTGCTTTACAAACACGCCTGAATTTCACTTTTTTCTGAAAGGAATAATGACTGAAAGGATTGCATTGACACATTCTGAACAAGCCATGGCGGTTTGTCGACATGGATCTTTGTTAAGTTATGCTTGTTTTTTTGTTGTCCAATGATTGTCTTTCTGGAGGATAGGCGTTGCTGGCTCAGGTGTTACTTTTTCTGGTGGCTCCATGTAAAAACAAATGGCACACAATGAAGTGAAATATCAGCACTTTGAGCATGTAAGTCACTGTTGTGTATGATATATTATTCCTGAAGTGTGAATCATTTATTAACACTATATCATCATGTCAAATCTGATGCGCTTTTGATGTTTGCTTTATCAAAACGGCGGAGATGTGTTGAACATGCATGCGTGTTTGTGCCGTGTCTGTTGACACACTATTCCACATTCAACATGTTTAAGCTTTTGTATGGTCACACTTTTCAAATATTGACAGTTTGTGTTTGTTTGCATGTTTTGTAAGCAAATTAAAGTCCTCTCAGTGTCGGACTGGAATGTTGACACTTCTGTGGTTGGGCTGGTTTTGTTCAAATTGGCTCATTTAGCACAAGCTTCATCAAAAATAACATTCAGAGAGGAAATGACTCAAACCGCCGTGTATCCATCCATCCATCCATCCATCCATCCATCCATCCATCCATCCATCCATCCATCCATCCATCCATCCATCCATCCATCCATCCATCCATCCATCCAATTCAATTCAATTCAATTCAATTCAATTCAATTCAATTCAATTGAGTTTATTTATACAGAGCCAATTCAAAACCAATGTCTTGAGTCATTTTACAAAACAATCCTTTTAATTCAATCAGTCATTTTAGAAGAATTTGAAAGTGGAACCTGTTGACATCAAGTCAAATGCCTGCCACTAAGCTACTAGCTCATTTTTTTTTTTTTTTTAATTTTAGTTCTTTCTAAATAAATAACCAAAACGGTCATTGTAATTTGTAATAGCGCAACATCAGAGAACTCTGTTTGGCCACTGCTTAGGGAATATGGCACATTAATTTTATTTATTTTTTAAATAATTTTAATGTGTGAGTTTTACAGAAAGGTTACTCTCATGTAAACACTAAAAATAGGAGAATCAAATCCTTGGTATATAGTGCCCTCTTGTGGCGTCAACAAGGAATTGATTTTCCTTTGACACTTCCTGAAATGGGGTTTTTTAAGTCAAAACATTAGAAAACTGACATCACGTTAAAGCTAATATGTATGGGTTTTTCTAAAGATAGCTCTGTAAGACATGGACTTCTATAACATACATTTACATGCTGATGTAACAATTATTGTTCTTCATGATAATAAAAACAATAAATAAATTAAAACTTCAATCTAATTCATACCTGTTATAGGAACAGGTAAGATTGACCTGTTTCTAGTAATTTCTTCGAAAATAAGAAATTAAAGAAATGAAAATTCTGTAAAAAAAATTTTTCATTTGTGGTGGCACAGGGGTAAAGCACACCCCATGTAAGGAGGCTGTAGTGATGTATCCCACTTACCTGTGATGTGAAACAGTTCAGATGAATAGAAGTTCTTGAGGCTTGGTGCTTGTAGGAACAAATGAATTCTGTATTTCATTTGCTTTGTCATAATTGGAACTAATTACTTTAACACATTCATTTAAAACAATATCCGTCCTTTACTCAAGCATTTGATGCGACACTAATAAAATGCAAATCTGCAACATGCACGAAGGAAAAACTTTTCAATAACATCAGAAAAATGATTCTCCTGCTGTTTTAGTGAATCCAGTGACAACTGATGCTGCAGTCTGAGCTCGCTAATGTGCAGTTTCAGCACAACGCCGAAACATGCACTTAGTTGTGTTAGTCTGGCCCCATGAATAAACCGATCCGATAAATTAGCTTAGGGAAAACGATGCTAGACAAAATTATAGACATTTCATCAGAGGAAATGATCTGATAGATCCACATGGGGCATGTTGAGAGATTAATGCACGATAATGAGAAAACCTCGAGTGGAACATTTCTGAAATTACATTATGCACACTCACTTTAGTTTCCCTAGAGGGTGCCAGCACTTGTTTCACTCATGTTCTTTTTAATGACAAGAAGCAAGACTCTGCACCTATGTTCCTTCACTTAAAACGATTCAGTGAATTAATCATTGCAGAATATAATAATAGTACAAAGAGAGGCTCACAAGTTGTCTTGTTTTCCTGGTCATTTCTTTTCTGAGAGCAAAGGCCCTACTGACTAGGATAAAGGATGGGGGAAAAAAAAAAATCCACACCACCATTTGTTAAAAAATACACTGTGAAAAAAATAGATTTGTCACTCGCCTGCATGATTTATGAGTCTTCTTCCTCTGTTTGACAGCACAAACACAAAAAGACAAATTTCTAGTTGCTAGTCACATTCACGGTTCAAAAAGGCAGCGCACTGGTGTCACAATCTGAAATACTCTGCTGCAGCAGCATGTCTCTGGATAAAAGGCTGAGGAGCCACACTTTTTGTATGTTGGGGGGGGGGGGGGAAACCGATTTTTACCCCCCAAACCCCCCCCCCCGCCCCACTTTTTTCCCCGCCGAGGAAAAT